CGATGATAAGATGAAAAAGTGGCCGAACTATGACATTACCCCCTCTCTAGGGTCGATGTCCTCATCGACTAGGCCAATGGGTAAGAAGACGTTCTCGTAAGGGTCGAAGAGCTGTCGTTGGGGATATGGAAGGCGCTCGTCCCTGGGCTTGTAGCGATGAATGAGATAGTCCCAGTGTCCAGCTTCGAGCGTTGGCAGGAGGCGAATGCGTGTGTCTGGATTTGATTGTTTCCTCTGCCAGTCTCTCAGGACGTCCTTTGCGTGGGTAAGGTGACGTGATGGTTCCCAGGTGTTCTCGCTGTGCGGCCATCCCTTCCATTTGACCAAGTACTGTTTTCCTCGGCCGACTTTTCGCTCTTTCACGATTTCTTCGACTTCCCACTCCTCTGCTCCTCCGATCATCTTGGCCACGGGTCTCTTCTCTCGGCGATGGGGGGGTGGTTCGTGATAGGGTGTCAACAGTGACTCGTTGAACACCGGGTGTCTTCGGTCCGTGTCCGGCAAATTCAGCTTCCATGCAGCCGCTCCAACCTTCTCCAGTATCTCGTATGGCCCCAATCTCTTGTCGCTCATCTTCTTCGAAGGCCTGTCCGTCTCGATATTGTCCCCCTCTATGTACACCTTCATCCCCACCTTCAACTCCGGAACTTCTTTTCTTTGTTTATCGTAGTATTTTTTCATTTTTTCTTTTGCTTTTTCCAATGCTGCTTTTGCTTCGTCTTGTATTTCTTTGATTCTTTTTACAAATTCCTCCGCCGACTCGTTCCTTGATTCCATCCGCTGCTCCACTCCCTTCCATGGGTGATATCCGTGATTAGCATAGAACGGCGACATTTTGGTAGACGTGTTCATTTTGTCGTTGTATGCGAACTCCGCCATTCCCAGCCACTCCGACCAGTCCGTCTGATGGTAGTTGACGTAAATGCGGAGATAGTGTTCGATCTCCTGATTCATACGCTCCGTCTGCCCATCCGTGATGGGGTGATATGCGGTCCCCGGATTCATTTCCACGCCCAACATCCGATTCGTTTCCTTCATAAAGCCCTTGATGTATCGAGAGTCCCTGTCGGTGATGATTTTGCGGGGGACCCCGTGATAGCGGAAGATTCGGTCCCTGGTTAACCGTGCTACTCCTTCGCTGCTGATGTCAGTACTAATTGGTTCGACATGGATCATTTTGGTGAAGGTGTCACACCACACATGAATTGCGTCATACCCGTTACTGACCGGCAGGGGTCCGATCTGATCCATGGAGATGATTTCCCACGGCGCGTTTGGAACTGCATGCGGGTGCAAACTCCCTGTCCTGGCTCTTCTGGTCTTGGTCCGCTGGCACGCCTCGCACGTCTGGATGTATTTCCGAATTTGGTTTCCCATCCTTGGCCACCAGTAGTTCCTTTCCACCATCTCCTGCGTTCGGTTGATCCCAGCGTGTCCGACCAAAGGTGTGTCGTGGTGTAGTCCGATGATCTTGTCTCGTAGCTCCTCATTCCTCGGCACGTAGAGCTTCCCATGGTACGTGATGAGCCCATCTTCCTTTTTCCATCCGACGAGTGACTTCTCCAAGGCCGCTTTGACGCTTCCATCAATTGATCGAGTAGCCTTGATCTCATCGATTAGCTGCTGATCTTGCCCCTCGAATGTGACTTCTTGTGACCGGAAGAATTCGGGTTTCAGCAGAGTGATATCCTTGTTGTCGTTCTTGCCCTGATTGTGATCCGCTCGTTGAGATAAGAGATCCGCCTTGCGGTTGAGTGCGCCGGGCCGGTGTCGTAAGGTGAAATCGAATTCTGCTAATTCTGTGATCCATCGTGCTTGTCGTCGGTTGAGCTTTTGTGGCTTCCGGAAGTATTCGAGGTTCTGATGATCAGTGAAGATCTCAAACGTTTCTGTGGCCCCCAAGAGTAACTGCCTCCATTCGTCGAGCGATAACATGATTGCAAGCATTTCCTTGTTGTAGATCTCGTAATTTCGCTCGGTTTCCGTTAATGCATGCGAAATAAATGCAATTGGGCGCCAAATGCCGTCCTGGTTTTGGCTCAAAACAGATCCTGTTGCCCCTTCCGAAGCATCGGCTTCCAGACGATATTGACCGGTGTCATTTGGCAGTGCTAAGACGGCATCCTCCGCGATTCTCTTCTTTAACCCATCAAACGCCGTATGTTCATCCGGACCCCATGACCATCCTGCCTTCCCTGTCAGCCGCGTCAACGGCTTGGCGACCTCCGCATATCCCCGAACAAAACGTCGATAGAAGTTTGTGAATCCGAGGAAGGCTTGGACTTGTTTGACGCTCTTTGGTTCCGGCCATTCCATCACGCCCTTGATCTTGACAGGGTCCATCCGCATCGAGTTGTGTCCAATGATTACACCCAGGTATTCGATTTCCGTGCGTTCGAACTCGCACTTTTCCGGCTTCAGGTATAATTTGTGCTTTTGGAGCAACTCGAGTACCCGTTTGGTGATTCGTCGGTGTTCATCCAGATTTTCTGTGAAGATTAGTATGTCGTCCAGATAAACTACCACATGTCCCTCGTTGATCAGTTCCCGGAGTATGTCGTTCATCATGTTTTGGAACGTTGCCGGAGAATTCGTGAGACCAAAGAACATAACTAAGGGCTCGTACAGCCCTCGGTTTGTGCGGAATGCAGCCTTCCACTTGTCACCCTCTTTGATCCGTACATTGTTATATCCCCACCGGATGTCTAGCTTGGTGAAGAACTTGGCGCCGCACAGGTTGTGGACCAGTTCGGAAATCAGCGGTAGCGGGTACCGATTTCGGATCGTCATCTCATTCAGCTTCCGGTAATCTTGAACAGGCCGTAGCGAGCCATCCTTCTTCTTGACAAAGAAGAATGCCGATGCCATGGGTGATTTTGATGGCCTGGTCCATCTGCTGGCTAGGTTCTCTTGTAAGAACTCGTCGAGTTTGACCTGCTCGTTTCTCGATAAGGGGTACACCTTGCAGTCCACTGCTTTGGAGCCTGGTTTGAGCTCGATCGCATGATCCCATGCCCGTCGGTCCGGTAGCGAGTCGAATGATTCCTTGGCAAATACTTTGACGAATTCTCGGTATTGATCTGGAATCTTTCCCTCGGTCATTCTCTCCTTCTCCTTTTCCGCTTCTTCTGCGAATTTCTGCGCCGGCGTTTCCTTCAGCCGTAGGTCTACCTCCTTTCCAAAGTCGATCAACAAGATCGATTCTCCCTCTTCCAGATCCGGTGCACCCGCGTCCAGGTCAATTGCATCCATGTCGATCATCGCTTGGTGCTCCTCGTGACCCCTCATTTGACATTGCTCTGGGCATCGGCTGAATCTCATTGTCTGCTCCTGCCAATCCACCTCGGGGTTGTGTTCCGTCAGCCAATCCAGGCCGATGAAGATCCGGGCTTTTCCCAGACACGTCAGAAGGAACGTGCGTGTCTCCACATGAGGACCGATTCTCATTCTCAAGTCGACGTAGTGCGTGATCCGACCGCTAATGTTCTCGGTGTTGTCGGCGTTACGAGCCACAATGGGTTGCGGAAGCTCTTGGATATCCAGCTTTTCTGCCCGTGCGTAGTCGGTGTCGATGCAGCAGGTACTGCAGCCACTATCGAGCAGCGCCTTGACTCCACGCGTTTTCCCTGAGTCCAGGCCCGTGATCTGGACATATACGTCCATCGAATGCCTCGTTCTTTCGGCTTGGTAACTGCGCAATTCCTGCGCCAATCTGCTGGGCTGGGGGCCCTTCTGTTTCTCGGCCGCCAATTTCCTCTGGATGGCATCTGGCACCCTGGTGCGTTTGGGTGCTTCTGGAACCTCGATTTTGGCAGATTCCTTGGGCGCTTCCTCCTTTTTCAAGGATCGAGCCTTCGGAGCGATGCTCCCCTTTTCGGTCTTTGTTGACGTGGTTCCTTCTCCACGAGCCATAAATACGTAGGAGTCCAAAAATAATTTATCTGCAGCTTTCTGATCTTTTTTATCTTGTAAGTATTTTCTATTTAGAGCTATCTTTTCCTGGCGTTCTTTTTCCATCTCGGCAATAAGAAAATCGTGAATATTTGTACGTAGGGAGTCTGATATCGTGTATGTAGATGAAATATTGTCCGTATCTTTAATCGAAACAAGTACAGAAAATCGTCCATAGTCCGGACGCTCCACCTCCTTGGCTAGAGGAGTGGAGCGCTTCAAAAACCCTTCTCGCGCAGCTTCTCGGCAATCTCCTTCAGGAACTTGTTGTCCTTGTCCCCGTTCTCGATTTCTTCCAGCATTGTGGCCCGATTGAAGAACGTGCGCTTCTTCTTGGGCTCCGGGCAGTTCCGCGCAATGTGCCCGGGCTGCTGACAGTTGTAGCAGATGATATTGCGGCCGCGGGCGTGGGTACGATCGATTTCCATCGGAACCGGTTCGTTGGCAGCGGGTCGGGCCGGAGCGGGTGTGGGCGCCACTGGTGCCGTTTGGGGACGGAACTGGGGAGGTGGTCGTTGTGTGGGGTGCCCATACGACGCTTTGCGCAGCTGGTCACGCAGAGCATTGGCTTCGATGTTGATGCACCAGGCTTTGAACGCTCCATAGGCCTTGGGCAGAGGGACACCGGTGTTGTAGAGACGGCTGGCGATCTCGCTGCTGAGTCCGCGCTCCAGGAACTCGATGAGGATATTATCCTGGTCCCCCTTCTTGTATTCGCCTTTGTCGTCGGTGGTGTCAACCACATTGTAGCCTGCATCCGCGGCCAACATCTCAAAGTCGGAGATGTAGTCCGCGAAGGACCGTTTGTTTTGACGCAGGGCCATAAGCCGAGCAGCGGCGACTTGTTCCGCATTGGAGTCCCCGAACGCCCTCTGAAACTCCTCCAGGAAGTTCTTTGATGTGACTCCTGCCTTCAGTCCCTGGAAGCCATCGAAGTTGTGCTGCTTCCAGTTCATCGCCCATCTCGAGGCAGCGCAGCTCGTGCCGTTCTCGTTACGGAGGTAGGAGAGGACAAAGAGGATTTTGGTCTCATCTTGTGAGAACTCCGATCAATAGGCACCGATGTAAGTGGTGCACGCGTCCACAAAGCCCAGGTATTTGGACTTGTCGCCATCGAAGTAGGGGGGGTTGGCGGCGAGGGTGATGCGGTGATGCCCTGACATGGTAGGGGCAGGCGTGTGAGGTGGAGGCGAGGGTGGTTGTTCGGAGGGCAGTTCGTCGAGGTCGGGGATCTCGTCTTCAGGCGGTGGGAGGGCGAGGTAGGGGTTGGAGGGCCCGGGTTGGTTTTGATGCGCCAGATCGGGCGACGATGGTACGATGGGGGGAGGGGACGGACTCCCAGACGACGATGGGAATCGGTACGAAATGGTGGAATCGTGTGCTGTACAAGCACTCGAGGGAGGGTTCTTTTGCTAGCAAAAAGATCCCGGGCCTAGCTCTTCACGTGCCCGATGATCCCGAGGTGCGTTTTCCCGAAGGTCTCCGCAGCACTCCTTGTAGCTACCGTAAGGCTTGGGTCGGGCTCAACGTTACCCGTGGCCTGGTGCTGTTTGCTTGATATGAACCCTTCACTGCGATAGTGGAGGACGACTAGATGATTCGGTAAAAGGGTGAGTGGGGTGATAAGGGTTAAGAGGATATAGCGGGCGTAGCGGTGCAAGATGCAGGGTAAGAGGTATGAGGTAGGAGGGTATGAGGGGAGTCTTCGAATTATGTGACAATCAACCCAAAAACAAAGTCGAAAAGAGAAGTGAATTCGAAGACTGGAGAATACAACCAAGTAGCTACAGTATTTATACCCAAATCCAGTCTGAGTCATATCTACAACTAATGAGTCATAGGGCTATGTACTGCATGGAACGCTGGTCATGGGTCGTAGTAGAACCTTCTGGAGCATATGTCGCGCAGCCTCGAATCGATGAAGATAATCCCTGGAACCCCTAGTCCGGACCGTCTGAGCCGTGATCCGTGATAAGATAAGTCGTGCCAAGATAAGATAAGATTGTCGATGATAAGATGAAAAAGTGGCCGAACTATGACAGTAGGCATCAAATGCATCCATTGAGTCATGTGAAGTGTGACTGATGGGTGACAGTAATGTGGAAAAGCACAAAATTCTGAAGACCAGAACTTTTGTACTTTGAAACAAAGACTTATTCCAACCAAGCATGTTGTAGGTCATCTAAACACTGTGGAGGGAGGGTTCTGTGCCCTCTGTACTTCTTATTAGTCCATGTGGCCTCTGAACCATTCACCTAAGGAACATCTGCCACAGAGGGTACCCCCCTCTCCTAGGGGGGTAAAATTGACCTATTTTGACCCCCTAGTAGGGGGGGTACCCTCCACATCTGAGGCAATCCTCTGCACCAAAGCTCCGCAAATGGGCGCCAAGCATCCACATCTTGCCCTATAAGCAGCGGTGGATCCATCTGCTCCTAGCTTACCCCGAGATCCTTGTGATGCCATCACCCAGATCATCTGCAGTCCACATCATGTGACTGCAATCAAGCGAGCAACCTCTGCACTCCCCATGCTCACAGCCTGTACAATCCTGCCCTGCATCTGTTGCTTGTCATAGTTTGGCCACTTTTTCATCTTATCATTGACGATCTTATCTTATCTTGGCACAATTTATCTTATCACAGATCACGGTCAGACGGTCCGGGCTAGGGGTTCCAGGGGTTATCTTTATCAATTTGAGGCTGCGCAACATACGCTCTGGAATGTTCTACTACAACCCATGACCAGTGACCATGTGGTACATAGCCTTATGACTCATTAGTTGTAGATATGACTCAGACTGGATTTGGGTATAAATACTGTAGCTACTTGTTGATTGTCACATAATTCGAAGACTCCCCTCATAGCCTCCTACCTCATACCTCTTACCCCTGCATCCCTCACCGCTACGCCTGCTATATCCTCTTCACCCTTATCACCCCACTCACCGTTTTACCGAATCATCTAGTCGTTCTCTGCGATCGCAGTGAAGAGTTCATCTCGAGCAAACAGCACCAGGCCACGGGTAACGTTGAGCCCGACCCAAGCCTTACGGTAGCTACAAGGAGTGCTGCGGAGACCTTCGGGAAAACGCACCTCGGGATCATCGGGCACGTGAAGAGCTAGGCCCGGGATCTTTTTGCTAGCAAAAGAACCCTCCCTCGAGTGCTTGTACAGCACACGATTCCACCATTTCGTACCGATTCCCATCGTCGTCTGGGAGTCCGTCCCCTCCCCCCATCGTACCATCGTCGCCCGATCTGGCGCATCAAAACCAACCCGGGCCCTCCAACCCCTACCTCGCCCTCCCGCTGCCTGAAGACGAGATCCCCGACCTTGGCGAGTTACCCTCCAAACAACCACCCTTGCCCCCACCTACCACACCTGCTCCTACTATGTCAGGACATCACCGCATCACCCACCTCAGTTACCACCGCCATCACCCGGTTGCACCCCCGCGGGGGGGGGGGGGGGGGGTTTGGTCCATTTGGGGCAGGGGCATATGCGGGGATCAGCAGGGGGGGTGCAGGGGGGGGGTCTATACATATCATGTGATTTATCATTGGGAGCGGGCAGGTGGGCGCGAAAAAAAAATGAATCACATGACACATCCAATGGGCGGGATGGCGGCTGATGGTGGGGTAAAAAAATCACGTGATGCACCGCATGAAAATTGTCAAAAATGGCTAGCAGGGTTGGTGGGGGTTGGCGGGGGGCGCTACTGTCCCCCCGCACACCATGGCAGGCAGTGGGCGCATTATCACGTGACTTTTGGGGCACCTTTTGTGCACCATTTGGCATGATTTCAAAGGTGTTGCTTGATCCATTGCATGCTGTGGCAGACAATGGGCGCATAATCACGTGATTTTCCGCCCAAAAAAATGGAAGCCTTCCCAGATCATCCTGGTATCATTTCTATAGGTAAATACACTACTTAAGCATGAATTTGAGCTCAGAAAGCCCAAAATGCACCCTGCACAATGGGACTGGTGACGCACTTGATCCCATCATTTGGCAGGGTCTGCTGCGGGGGGGTGCCACGGGGGGTGCTGCGGGGGGTGCCACAGGGGGTGCCGCGGGGCCCGCTGTGGGGTCAACCACAGGAGCAGGGTTAGGGATGCATTGCATCATATTTTGATCTATCTATTCTTGCTGTGGTCATAGCATGCAGCATAATTATCCTTCATTTTGCCAGGAGTTTGGAGGCTGTGTCTGGGGGTGGTCTGCAGCTACAGACGTGTGACTGCCTGATGCTTCGGCAGGGGCTGGGATATCAAAACTGTGCAATATTGGCTGCAGAATCCAGGCATGTAGGGTTAAAAAGAAAGTGTGATTTGTTCATTTTTTGGCTGGCAGGGTAGGTGGGCTGACATCATGGGCTGCATCGGGTCCACTGTCAACTCATTGATTGTTTCGTCTGCTCATTCTATACACATGCCCATTGGTAAACTGATCAGGCTGTAGGCACAGTCTCATCTTACCCTGTGGATAATACCACACGTTAATTACACACCTAATGTCACACTTCCTGTCTGGGACTCATTGAAGTTCATCTGTTCTGTGTTACTTTACAAGCAGTTTGCTTTAGTTGCAACATGAACAGATGTAATAGAGTGGATTTGACATGCCCTGAATTGATTCCTAGGTGGAATATGAGACAATGGATTCACCAGCAAGTTGTCTCACAACAGTCAGAGATTGGTAATATTTGAATTTCAAATTTCATATACAACACTCTGTGCACTCAGAGCTTGTATATTTGCAAGATAGACTGTAGAGACATAGATGGTGACTTTTACTACCTCTGGGGCTGCACACATCCTTGCCATGACCCACTGCCTACACCCCTGCTGGTACCCCCCATTGGCACCCCCGCCGGCACCCCTGCTAGCACCCCTGCTGGCACCCCCGCTGGCACCCCCGCCGCACCGGTGCCTTGCCCCTGTGATTTTCTTATATGTAAGATTATGTAAACTGACAGCTCGGAACACGTCAAGTCACTAGCCAATCAGAACCTGTATAAACGTCATACCTAAGTGTTTACTGCTCTTCTAACACTGTTCCTACAGTTATGCAGCTGAAAACCATCAGAATAAGGTCTCCATATGCTATTCTTGTTGAATATGTAGGTACTTCATATCCTTTGTCCACCTAAAATTCGAAACATGAAAACAGTTCACCATTGCTCAAGGTTCCTATGTAGACAATGGTTCAACATGGTTCACTTTGAGTATGGCAAAAAATATTTTTTCTACACACAAGCAATTCAATACAGCTGAATGATACACTCTTTGGCAGTGTCTGAAACAAATTCTGAGAGCCCTGGACCCTGGAACCATTCAAAAACTTGAAATGAGTCCGAAAAATAGGGTCTTGATAAACATGAGATATGGGCTGGTTTTAAGAGACATGGGCCACCAGTCATGTTGAATATAGTATTTTACAATGTTTTGGTGCCCTACCTCTCATCACATGGCCTCATTTCCCACTCAAAAGGGCGCATACACACTCAAGCTCATAAAATCAATTGTCACCCAGAAACAAGAGCAGTGAAGTTGTTTCACTGGGATTGGGTAAGGGTTACCTGGAAGTCACTTGGGTTGCAGTACAGAAGCTTTGGAAAGTGATTTTGTAGTTGATCCACATTTGGTAGGCTGGCATATGCTTGTGCACCCCCACGGCACCCCCTGCGGTGAAATGCTGAGGGCGTGCTCACAAGTGAATCTACTACGAAAGTAAACCCAAATACAAACACGTTCACACTCCTCGTAATCAGCTTCTCAGTGTGTGAAAGATGCGAGGGCTTCGGGGTGGACAGAGCACCAGTATCACAACTCTCAATAGACGCAGATCCAATAGTCGCGGAGACGAAGTCGACGACAAGAATATATATATAGTAAACAATGGTATCTCAACCAATATCTTCTATACGAACACAACCAACACTAATCCAATCCACAACCAACAATATAACAAGTCAGAACTTAAAACGAAGTATTAAGATCCCTTGTAGCGACAGTGTCCAGATGATGACGCAAAGCCCAAATATCAAGTCAACGCACTGCCAACTGACACAACCAAAAGTACTGAGTTGACGCACTGCCAACTAGTAAACCAAGATGCCGCGTCGACGCACTGCCAACTAACAGCCAATATCCAATGTCCAATACCCGAGCACAACTTGTCGACGCACTGCCAAGCAAGAAGTGTGGAACCAAAGTTCTCAAGTCGACGCACTGCCAACTGACCAAAACAACCCGAGCACAACTAGTCGACGCACTGCCAAGCTAGAGGTGTGGAACAATCTCAACAAAGCCCGAAGGGGCGACGACACTAAATGCCGCGACAATACCAGATGCGGCAAATCCGACTTTCTGATATCTCAACTCAAACTCAAATCACAGTAGCTACAAGTGCTCGGGGAGCAACTCGTCGCGACCGGGCAGGGGTAGCAGAACTTCTTAGGGTGGAATCACGCGACACGCAAATTGTACAAAACAATCTGAAATGAGAGTGATTCACAGTCCGGGGAAAAGCTTCTTAATACAAAGAAACGACGTGCTACTTATACTGTCTACGACGATGCTTAGTAAAGTCCTGTACAACTGCATAGTAGCTACGCTATCTAAGATCGGTTGCCTTTTAGGGTAATTGAAAAGTCGAACGATCGGACAGGACCTGAGTGATCAGGACCCCGCCCCATAGTCCATATGATACTTTTGATGTGGGTCAACCCACCGCGTCATACTTTTGGAATACGACGTGCTGGATTGGCCAACGGGTATGTCTTGGCAAGTGAGACCAACGTGGGTGCCCCAAGAAGCCGTATGGCCCTAGGCATGCCAGTCGTCCCCCACATGGCTCGGTTCACGGATCTAGCCGTGTCGATTTCTAGTGTGTTTGGGTATGGACGCGATTCGCCATGACACTTGGGAGTGTCACCGCGACGCGTCCACAATGTCCCGTGATCGAATGGATCCTGACATGTGACAAGTCGTCGTCGTGGCACGATCTGAGGAAATGTCCAACTCCAAACCGGGAGTTGCCGCGACAAGATGGTTTAGATCTCGTAACGCCAAGTCCTGTCCAGTAGTAGTTGTATTATTGAGAACGTCGCACATTGCTCAGCCCTTCAGCCCAAGTTCCCACCTGCAGAGAATGACCCTTTTTGAGAAGTCGACGCAACGACAGATCCTGTAAGGGCAACCTCGAGGCCCGATCTCAGAGTCCTGACAAGGGAGAGTCCAAAGCGTCAGATAAGGGGATCGACTAGTACAGGAGACTGGCAAACCTGACAAGGGAGAGTCCAAAGAGAAACCAAGTTGGGGACTCTCCTTGTCAGGGCCCACTATATATAGCCTACGGAACAATGGATGACGAAGCACAATGGAAGCGCCAGACAATGGGGCCAGGGAACAATGAGGGGCCGGATCGGGGAGAACAATGGGAGCCGGACCGTCGGAACAATGGGGGTCCGGGCCGGAGTGTCATGTGGACGCGCTTGGCAGGGAAGTCCGGACCGAAGCATGTGACGCCTGACAGATGGCGCGTGCATGGTCACATGCAAGATCCCATGATGATCGGACGAAAGCAGGGGTTCCCCTGACATCACCCCCCCTCTTGATTGCGGCGCCTCGACGCAAGGCACGGTTGGGGGTCGACGAGTCCCTGAAGGGCAGCAAGTCGAATACAGCCGCTGCGATGACGCGTGGCTTCCCAGGGTATCTGCGGTAAAACGCTGCCACTGCGTCGTCAGCAAACACATCTGAGTGCTTGACCCACTGGTTGTGAGACGGGTCATAGCCCTTCCACCGTACTCGGAACCAGACACTTCGGTAGCGCATCTTTGCGTCTAGGATCTCCTCCACTTCCCACTCCTCTCCTTCGCCTTGTCCCAGGACAGGCGGTGGTTCTTCATGACGCGGGCGAGTGGGGAACGGGTCGTCTTCGGCCAACTGCAGCTTGACCACAGGGAAGACAGGGTGGAGGCGAGAGAGGCTGGTGGGGAGGGCGAGCTTGTACGCGCCTCGGCCCACGACTTGGGTGACTTTGAAGGGGCCCAGGCGTCGGTGGGAGAGGCCGCGAGAAGGTCGCGTCGTCGTGATGTCCGAGGCGTCGAGCCAGACTCGGCTGCCAACCTTGATGTCGGGAGCGGTGGTCCTTCGTCGGTCGTAGTACCTATTGTATTCGTCCTTCGCCTTCACCAGTGCTGATTTGGCCTCGGTTACGCCTGATGCGACCCGATCCAGAAACTCGTTGGCAGACTCTGCTCTGGTGGAGCGCTGCCCTGTTGGCTCGAATCCCATGCGTGGTAAACGTCCTGTGTCCGTCATGCAGGGAACCTGCTGGGTCGAGGAGTGGACGTGGTTGTTGTAAGCGAACTCAGCTGCGGGCAAGAGCTCGTCCCAGTCATCCTGCTTGTAGCTGGTGAAGATCCGAAGGTACTGTTCCAGCTCCTGGTTGACCCGCTCGGTCTGGCCATCAGTCTGCGGGTGGTAAGCGGTAGATGTGGCAGGGGAAACGCCGACCGGCTTCCACAGCTCTTGCGTGAAGTCCGCCACAAACTGAGGGCCACGGTCGGAGACATACTTGGTTGGTAATCCGTGGTGTCGCCAGACGTGCTTGTAGAACAACCGAGCCATCCCTTCGGCCGAGAGGTGAGTGTGGCACTCGATGAAGTGAGCACGCTTCCCTAGCATGTCAACGACCACCATGATGGCGTCGTAGCCGTGCGCCTCGGGCAACTCCACGATAAAGTCTACTGACACCGATTCCCAACGTTCCGAGGGGACCTCCGTGGGGTGAAGCTCTCCGGTGGGGAGTCGTCAGAGGGCCTTGGTCCGACAGCACAGGTCGCAGGTGGCCACATACCTGCCGACGTGCCGTGAGAGCTGGGGCCACCAGTAGTTCCGAGAGACCAGCTCCAGCGTCTTGAAGCGGCCAGCGTGCCCTGCAACGCGGGTGTCGTGGTGTTGCTCGAGGATGCGTCGTCGGAGGTCCCGGTCGCGTAGAACCACTAATTTCCCACGGAAGTAGAGGAGGCCATCCTGGATGCGCCACTCCGCTGCGACAGCGGAGCGGGCCCCCTTCATTCCTTTTAGAAGCTGTCGTGCTACAAGCGCGACCGCTTCCTCAAGGTCAGGGTCACCGGAGAGCGATTCCCGAATGTCACGGACAAGCGGGGCTTCCGGGCCAGAGACAGACAGCCCCTCGAGTGCTCGCACATGGAACAGTTCCGGTTTCAGCAGGGTGACGTCTGTATTGTCCGAAGGGGCCCCGTGGTCCGGACGTCGGGAGAGTGCGTCCGGTCGTCCCATGAGCCGGCCAGGTTGGTGGTGGAGCGTGAAGTCGAAACGGGATAGGTAGAGCAACCATCGAGCTTGCCGGCGATTGAGATTCTGGGCCTTGCGGAAGTACTCCAGGTTCTTGTGGTCGGTCCAGATCTCCACGGGGTGTTCGGCGCCCTCCAAGAAATGCCGCCACTCCTCCAGGGCCCGCACGATTGCGAGCATCTCCTTGTCATGGATCTCGTAGTTACGCTGGACGTCGTTGAGGCTCTTGGAGAAGAAGGCAACTGGGTGCCACTTGTCGTCCGAGGGGGACTGCTGCGAGATGACGGCTCCTGTAGCAAAATCGGAGCTGTCAGCCTCGAGGCGATAAGGGCAAGAGGAATCTGGAAGGAGAAGAACTGGCGTGGAAGTAACCGCATCCTTCAAGGCCTGGAACGAAGTGGACTCGTTGTCGCCCCAAGACCATGGTACGTCCTTCTTGGTGAGATCAAAGAGCGGGCGTGCAATGTGCGAGAAGTCCCGAATAAACCTCCGATAGAAGTTAGTGAACCCAAGGAATTGCTGCACTTCCTTCTTGTTAGACGGAGCTGGCCATTCAGCTACGCCTGCCACCTTGACAGGGTCCATTTCAACATGGTTGTGGGAGATGATCACGCCTAGGTACTCGATGGATTCCATCTCAAATTCGCACTTTTCGGCTCGAAGGTACAGCTTGTTTTTGCGGAGGCGCCGGAGGACTTCGTTCACGATACAATGATGGAGGTGAAGGTCGGAGTGCGCAATGAGGATGTCGTCCAGGTACACCATGACATTGCCCGAGAGGATGAGGTCCTGGAGGATGTCATTCATCATGGTCTGGAACGTTGCAGGGGAGTTGGTGAGGCTGAAATACATCACCAATGGCTCGAAGAGTCCACGGTTGGTCCGAAACGCAGCCTTCCACTCGTCTCCTTCTCGTATCCGTACGTTGTTGAAACCCCATCGAACGTCGAGTTTGGTGAAGAAGCGGGCTCCCTTGAGCTTGTTGATGAGGTCGTTGATCAGGGGGAGGGGGTACCGGTTCTTCACTGTCATTGCGTTCAGCGCTCGATAATCCTGGACGAACCGTAGGCTGCCGTCCTTCTTCTTGACGAAGAAGACAGGGGACGCCATGGGAGATTTTGAGGGCCGGATCCGACCGGTGGCCATGCCCTCTTCTATGAAAGCGTCGAGCTGCTTCTGTTCCAGGGGGGAGATGGGGTAGACCTTGCAGTTTGTTGGCTTTGCGTCAGGCACCAGTTCGATGGCGTGATCCCAGGGGCGACGTTCCGGGAGATTGTCGAAGGACTCCTTGCTGAAAACATCCTCGAACTCGCGTGCCCACTCGGGTATGGAATCCCGAGGGGGTGCGGAGTTCTTGGCAAACGCCTCGGCGAGACGCTGGGAGACGGTGCTAGTGGCTCGGATGTCTTCAGAGGGGTTGAAACGGGTGTAGAAGATACGGTCACCGGTTTCCAGACCATCTTCTTCGTCGTCAGAATCCTCTCCATCGTCTTCTTGGAGTGGTGGCATAGCCTCGTCTTCGCGGTCTTCCATATCGACGACGCAGATGGAGGGGGCGGGACCTTGTCGGGCTGACCGGAGCGCTCGGGCCAAAATCCTGGCAATCCGCCTCTCTTGGCGAGACTCCTCGGTGCAGGTGGAGCAGCCAGACGGGCAGCGGCTCATCTTTACTTCCTGGGTGTCCCAATTGATTTCCGGGTTGTGCTTCCGAAGCCAAGAGTAGCCGAGGATCAACTTCTGCTTGCCAAGCCGAGTGACAGCGAGCTGAACCCGCTCACTGTGTCCTTGGTAACGCAGGACCACATCAGCGACTTGTCGAATGGAGCCGGCTTCGTTTGGTGTGCCGTCCACGTTGTAGACTGGGATGGGCTGAGAGAGCTGTCGGACTGGAAGTCGGTTTTCGGACGCGTAGGTGGAGTCGATGAAGTCCGATGTAGCGCCACAGTCGACCAACCTGCTGAGGGAGAGCTGGACTGCGTTGTCGGTGGACTGGATCTCCAGAGGGAGGTGCAAGGAATTGGCGCCAGGGGAGGCTGCAACCACGTAGCGCTGAGGGAGTTTTCGTTCCCATTTTTCCTTGTGGACCAGCGGGACTGAGCGAGGGGTAGGGGGTACGTCTATCGTTTCGTTTGTGGAGGAAATGGGATCGCATTCATCATACAGACATTCGAAACGATTACGCGAGGCGAACGAGGGCGTACTATTCACTCGTCGCGGGGGAGAAAACCCTGCTCCAGCTCATCGGCAATCTCCGCTTCATGCTCTTCCACAGCCGCCGTAGTCGCCAGTCGGGCTACTAACTCCGCCAACAGGTCGCTTCCCAACTGATTGATTACTTCGTCCAGGACGTCGACGTGACGGACATCGGCAGGGGTTGGGCAGTCCCGGGCCAGATGTCCGGGGCTGCCGCATCGGAAGCAGGTGCGACAAACACCGCCGCGGGCTCGGGTGCGGTCAATCTCCATGGGAATGCCCGGTGGGAGGATTGCCGGGGCTGGTCGCGGAGCAGGAGGCGGAGCAACGACTGGGGGGGCCATGGGACGAGGTCGGGGGGCCGCAGGAAGCGGGGCGCGGGGTGGAGGAAACCTCTGCCCTCTTGCAGCTCGGGCAGCCACCTCCGCGTTGTACTGGCGGAATGCATGGGTGCGCCACTCCGAGTAGTTAGTGAGACTGGGTGGGTTACCAGAGGTTGTGATCGCCTGGTTGATCCTGGGGTCGAGACCCGCCCGGTACTTGGTGACCTTGACCAGGTTGTCGGAGTACCCTGCCAGGTCGAGGAGGTCGTCGAACTCGTCCGTGTATTTGAAAACATCGCGGGATCCCATGTAGTAAGCGTGGGTTTCCAGTCGTGCCAGGGCGTGGTCTTGCTCGTTCTCCTCGACGAACCGGAGTTTGAATTCGGCAACAAAGGAGGACCAGGTTGGAAATGGGAAGACGAGGCGTTCTGACATACGTTCCGACCAGGAGGCGGCCGAATCCTTGGACATGTAGGAGAGGGCGAAACGTACCACCCGTTCTTCTGACACTACCCCGTTCACATGGAAGGCCTCGGGGAGGAGGCGCCAGTACTGCTTGATGGAATGCAGAAACGTCTTGCCCTGGGTGCGATCCCCGTCGAACGCAAATGGGGGGTTTGGGCGAATGAGGGGTCTCAAGCTGGCTTGTTGGCCAGTTGGTACGCCTGGACCCACTGCCGGAGACGGAGCAGGGGCAGGGGCAGGGGGAGTTTGTTGCTGGCTGATGATTAGGTTATGGAGGAGGCCCTCCATTCGCTGCATAGCTTCCTCCAGATTCGCAAGCCTTTGTTGGGGGTGGGAGGGGTCGTCCTCTTCTTCCATGTGGGACATGCTGGTCGCAGAGGGGGAGGAGGGGACAAGGTTGGAAGTGAGAAGCAGATGATGCTGTCGACGGTCTTCACAAGCTTGTCCAGTTATCCCTAGGAACTTGGTTTCTGCTGTAAGGGCAACCTCGAGGCCCGATCTCAGAGTCCTGACAAGGGAGAGTCCAAAGCGTCAGATAAGGGGATCGACTAGTACAGGAGACTGGCAAACCTGACAAGGGAGAGTCCAAAGAGAAACCAAGTTGGGGACTCTCCTTGTCAGGGCCCACTATATATAGCCTACGGAACAATGGATGACGAAGCACAATGGAAGCGCCAGACAATGGGGCCAGGGAACAATGAGGGGCCGGATCGGGGAGAACAATGGGAGCCGGACCGTCGGAACAATGGGGGTCCGGGCCGGAGTGTCATGTGGACGCGCTTGGCAGGGAAGTCCGGACCGAAGCATGTGACGCCTGACAGATGGCGCGTGCGTGGTCACATGCAAGATCCCATGATGATCGGACGAAAGCAGGGGTTCCCCTGACAGATCCCTTTTTGGGGAATGGTCGCGGTCCAAGCGTTCGTCACTAATGGCCCTGAGCCTGGTATAGACTCATAAGACCAGTTCCACAGTAGTGGTCTGACTGCCTTGCTATCGTCGACACTATCCACAGTCGTCGACTGGGCAGTAGACCCTTAAGTCCTACTGAGCGCAACACTGTCACCCGCGACACGATACACCGAATGGTTCGAGAGTAAACTTTGTAAAAAGCGCAAAAATACGCCCTCACAGAGTTGGTGCAGAGCGCGTCTGGTAGCCAGCCTATCAGCGGCCAGGTTGGTGGTGCAGGGTGAAGTCGAAGCAAGACAGATAGAGGGACCAGCGGGCTTGACAATGGTTGAGATTCTGGGCCTTCCGGAAGTACTCCAGACTTTTGTGGTCGGTCCAGATCTCAACAGGGTGCTCGGCGCCCTCGAGGAAGTGTTGCCACTCCTCCAAGGCGTGGACCATGGCGAGCATCTCCTTGTCGTGGATTTCGTAGTTCCGCTGGACCTCGTTAAGACTCTTCGAGAAGAAGGCAACCGGATGCCACTTGTCATCTACGGGGGACTGCTGCGAGATGACAGCACCGGTCGCAAAGTCCGAACTGTCTGCTTCGAGGCGGTAAGACCTGGAAGCATCCGGGAGCTGCAGGACTGGGGTAGAGGTAACAGCGCTCTTCAGCGCAAGAAACGCAGCTGCCTCGTTGGCGCCCCAAGTCCATGCCACGTCCTTCTTGGTGAGGGCAAAGAGAGGACGGGCGACGTGCGAAAAATCCCGGATGAACCTCCGGTCAAGGTATTCGATTGACGGCATCTCGAACTCGCACTTCTCCGCGCGAAGGTAGAGCTTGTTCTTGCGGAGACGTCGGAGGACTTTGTTCACAATTTCCCGGTGACGGTGGATATTGGAATGTGCGATGAGAATGTCGTCGAGGTACACCATAACGTCGCCAGAGAGGATGAGGTCCTGAAGTATGTCATTCATCATCGTCTGGAACGTTGCGGGGGAATTGGTCAGGCCGAAATACATCACCAACGGCTCAAAGAGCCCGCGGTTTGTCCGAAACGCTGCCTTCCACTCGTCGCCTTGACGAATGCACACGTTGTTGAAGCCCCAGCAAACGTCGAGTTTGGTGAAGAACCAAGCTCCCTTGAGCTTGTTGATGAGATCATTGATCAGAGGGAGTGGGTAGCGGTTCTTCACTGTCATCGCGTTCAGTGCTCGGTAATCTTGGACAAACCGTAAGCTGCCGTCCTTCTTCTTCACGAAGAAGACAGGAGATGCCATGGGCAATTTCGACGGCTGAATCCTGCCAGTAGCCATGCCCTCCTTGATGAAGTCGTCGAGCTGCTTCTGTTCGAGAGGGGATATGGGGTAGACCTCACAGTTGGTCGGCTTTGCATTGGGGACCAGTTCAATGGCGTGATCCCAGGGGCGTTGCTCTGGCAGGTTGTCAAAGAACTCCTTGCTGAAAACATCCTCGAATTCGCGGGCCCACTCGGGGATGGTATCCCGAGGAGGTGCGGAGTTCTTTGCAAACGCCTCGGCAAGTTGCTGAGAGATGGTGCTGGTGGCTCGGATGTTTTCAGAAGGATTGAAGCGGGTGTAAAAGATACAATCACCGGCTTCCAAGGAGTCGTCATCTTCTTCAACATCTTCGGGGTCGTAATCGTCCGAGTCTGGCGAAAGCTCCGGCATCTCTTTGTCCTTGTGGTCCTCGAAGTCGACAGCGCAGATGGATGGAACCAGACCCTGTCTGATGGTGCGGAGCACCTAGGCCGCGGTTCTGGCAGATCGATGTTCTTCGCAAAGCTCCTCCTGACAAGTGGAGCAACCAGAAGGGCAACGGCTCATTTTTACCTCCTGGGTATCCCAGTTGATCTCCGGGTTGTGCTTCCGGAGCCAGGAGTACCCTAGAATGAGCTGCTGCTTGCCTAAACGGGTGACAGCAAGCTGCACGCGTTCACTGTGGCCCTGGTAACGGAGAACCACATCAGCAACTTCGCGAATAGAACCAGCTTTGTTCGGTGTGCCGTCTACATTGTAAACGGGGATAGGCTGAGTGAGGTGACAAATGGGAAAGTGATTTTTGAGGACGTAGGCCGAGTCGATGAAGTCAGATGTAGCACCGCAATCGACTAGACCTTGAAGAGATAGCTTCACTGCATTGTCGGTGGACTCGATCTCCAGGGGGAGGTTGAGGGAATTATTTCAACTGTTGCAGAGTGGATGGAATTGGATTCATCATACAGACAAGAGAAACGATTACGTGAAGCAAATGGGGGCATACTACTCACTCGTCACTGGGGAGAAAACCCTGCTCCACCTCAGCTGCAACATCAGCCGCATGATCTGCAACGGCTGCAGTGGTGGCGACCCAAGCGACCAACTCGGAAAGCAAATCACTCCCCAGCTGATTGATGACCTCATCAAGGACATCGGTGATAGGCTGGCTACCAGACGCGCTCTGCACCAGCTCTGTAAGGGCGTATTTTTGCGCTTTTTACAGAGTTTACTCTTGAACCACTCGGTGTATCGTGTCGCGGTTAACAGTGTTGCGCTCAGTAGGACTTATGGGTCTACTGCCCAGTCGACGACTGTGGATAGTGTCGACGATAGCAAGGCAGTCAGACCACTACTGTGGAACTGGTCTTATGAGTCTACACCAGGCTCAGGGCCATTAGTGACGAACGCTGGGACCGCGACCATTCCCCAAAAAGGGATATGTCGTTGCGTCGACTTCTCAATAAGGGTCATTCTCTGCAGATGGGAACTTGGGCTGAAGGGCTGAGCAATGCGCGACGTTCTCAATAAAAGAACTACTACTGGACAGGACTTGGCGTTACAAGACTTAAACCATCTTGTCGCGGCAACTCCCGGTTTTGAGTTGGACGTTTTCCTCAGATCATGCCACGACGACGACTTGTCACATGTCAGGATCCATTCGATCACGGGACATTGTGGACGCGTCGCGGCGACACTTCCAAGTGTCACGGCGAGTCGCGCCCATATTCAAACACACTAAAATCGATACGGCTAGATCCGTGAACCGAGCCATGTGGGAGGCGACTGGCGTGCCTAGAGCCATACGGCTTCTTGGGGCGCCCACGTTGGTCTCACATGCCAAGACATACCCGTTGGCCAATCCAGCACGTCGTATTCCAAAAGTATGACGCGGTGGGTTGACCCACATCAAAAGTATCATATGGACTATGGGGCGGGGTCCTGATCACTCAGGACCTGTCCGATCGTTCAACTTTTCAATTACCCTAAAAGGCAACCGATCTTAGATAGCGTAGCTACTATGCAGTTGTACAGGACTTTACTAAGCAGCGTCGTAGACAGTATAAGTAGCACGTCGTCTCTTTGTATTAGAGAGCTTTCCCCCGGACTGTGAATCACTCTCATATCAGATTGTTTTGTACAATTTGCGTGCCGCGTGATTCCACCCTAAGAAGTTCTGCCACCCCTGCCCGGTCGCGACGAGTTGCTCCCTGAGCACTTGTAGCTACTGTGATTTGAGTTTGAGTTGAGACATCAGAAAGTCGGATTCGCCGCATCTGGTTTAGTCGCGGCATTTAGTGTCGTCGCCTTCGGGCTTTGTTGAGATCGTTCCACACCTCTAGCTTGGCAGTGCGTCGACTAGTTGTGCTCGGGTTGTTTTGGTCAGTTGGCAGTGCGTCGACTTGAGAACTTTGGTTCCACACTTCTTGCTTGGCAGTGCGTCGACAAGTTGTGCTCGGGTTTTGGACATTGGATATTGGCTGTTAGTTGGCAGTGCGTCGACGCGGCATTTCGGTTTACTAGTTGGCAGTGCGTCGACTCAGTACTTTTGGTTGTGTCAGTTGGCAGTGCGTCGACTCGACATTTTGGTTTACTAGTTGGCAGTGCGTCGACTCAGTATATTGGTTGTATCGGTTGGCAGTGCGTCGACTTGATATTTGGGCTTTGCGTCACCATCTAGACGCTGTCGCTACAAGGGATCTTAATACTTCGTATTAAGCTCTGACTTGTTATATTGTTGTTTGTGGATTGGATTAGTGTTGGTTGTGCTCGTATAGAAGATATTGGTTGAGATACCATTGTTTGCTATATATAAATTCTTGTCGTCGACTTCGTCTCCGCGACTATTGGATCTGCGTCTATTGAGAGTTGTGATACTGGTGCTCTGTCCACCCCGAAGCCCTCGCATCTTTCACACACTGAGAAGCTGATTACGAGGAGTGTGAACGTGTTTTATATTTGGGTTTACTTTCATAGTAGATTCACTTGTGAGCACGCCCTCAGCATTTCATCTGGAGCCCACCGCGAGGGGCTTCTAAAGTTTCATAAACTTTAAAAATCAATAAACCGGGTTCTTTACCGCGACGTCGGATAGAGACCAAGGGTTTATCCCGCGAAGCAGTTTATTTCGATCCCAAGCTCCTGCGCGACCTCTCGAGGACCAAGCGGAGATTGAGACTGAAGGAAACGCTTCAACC